TGCATGCTAACCGTACTGTAGCTGTGTGGCAACAGGATGGGATGGCACAGCCACCGTCCTCTGGAGAGGCTCCTTCACTGTCTGTTGTAAACTCCATCCGATCTGCACAGGGAGGAGACGCTGCAGGGGAAGGAGGAGGTTCAGCCCGATTGCTTTCCAGAGGCAGTAGAGGTTGAAAGTGCACAACGACGTAGTGTTCCTAATGGACAGCCCAGATCGAGCGATATTCTACTTCCTGGCGATAGAAAGAGTTAATATTGATTCATTTTGTATATGGGATGCTGGACCCGTTTTCCAGCAGGTGATGCTCCCCACCAATAGATGGAGCCTTTCTCTCTCTCTCAAAAAAAACAAAAAAAAGTTGTTTCTATAAAGTGGTCGAGTTCATTAAGGTATATATTTGATAGTAGGGGACTAAGACCGAAGGGCCGCCGCCTGGCGGCGCCTATGGTCGCCTCTTCAATCTCTCCGTGTGGCATATGAAAAAAAGTTTTAAAAAAATCCTGCTTTGTGCACCCTACCGCCATCCTCCCACAGGGTCCGTGAGTTATCTGCAGAGGTAACAGCACTGAAATGACCTGGACGATGTAGGACGTACGCTCGAATATTCGGATCCATGCCTAGCATGTGATTCAGTTGAGCAGGCTGGAGTTGTAGTAGCCTACCCATAAATGCATCGAGAGGAATTCTATGTTCAGGCCAGGTGCAGCACTGTTGTCCTCTGGGCAGACAGCATCGTGCTCTTCTTCTATTCAGCGGACAAAATCAGAAACAGTTTAAGGGTTGCAATTGTAAGTGAGGAGACATACATTAATGGCATAGTACGCAGTGGCCTCGCTGTAGCACTATGATATCATCTGATTCTGCAAATTGTGCGACAGGGGGAGGTTCATCCAATTCTGCAGATTGCACGGGGATTCGTTGCGGTCTTGACTATTTCTGTCAGGTTCCTACAGCTGTATCAGCTCCATTGGCTCTAGTATGCAATCCAGAGAGAGATCATCCTCAATCGGGGGCTCCATCAGGTGATCCGAAGGTGGGTCATTGTCAATTGGGGCGGGGGAACAAGCAAGGCTATGTGGACGAGAAATGGGGGGAAGAAGCTGATTAGATGCACGTGTGCTCAGAGTGACTGCTAGTCGTGGAAATGCTGCACAGGTAGCCGCACCTCGCGTCTGGTGGACCTCCAGGCCTGCAGCACTAAACAAATAATCGCCACATTGTGGGCATTGGACTCGATATGTACTATTCCTGACTAGTGTATATTGAGAGTCACGATGTCGTTCCGTACTGTTGTGACCATGTCGTCGGAGCAGATCTCTAACCTTTGCAGGGGGTGGGGTGATCATGCTGTTCAAGGACAAATGCGGCCGCTGTCTTGGAGGCGGCATATGTGTGTGTGTGTGTGTGTGTGTGTGTGTGTGTGTGT